GATAGATAGATAGATAGATAGATAGATAGATAGATAGATAGATAGATGTCATAGCATACAGTTATAGGTTTGTATAAAAAGAGTTGTCCACCATCAATAGATGAAAAATGAATGTGATTTTTGTTGTAAGCACAGTGGGTAAAATGCAGAATGCAACAGGAGTGTCCAAAACAGGATATCATGTCTCTGCACACTCTAGCATGCTTTCTCCTGCACTCTGTGGGTGTGCGCCACATTCACTGTCCAGGATCCAGTTTCACCACTTCCTGTTTTAGTTTCAAGAACTACAAACTGATGTCTCTGACTTTACATTAACACTTTGTGTGTGTTCAATATGTAGTCTCATAGCAGACCGCTGTACAGCCAATAAATGTTGTCATATCTGCATCACATTTCAGCACCACTGGGGGGGGGGTGTCTTCTTCAGCTTGTTTTATCGCTGTTTATTGTTTCTGCTTGTGTTTTAGAAAGAGAAGCTGCTGTATCTCTATAGAGTGGGAAAAGGCAGCTGCATCAACATGGAGACCAACAAGGTGACCAACGAGTCTCTTTAGACCAGAAACTGAAATAAAACGTCAACTCACAGCCGTGTTTCACAAATACATAGAGGGAATGAGATAAGATAGAGATAACAAATGATATAAACTGTTTTAGAAGCAGAGCTTTGTAGGTTGTAACACATCTCTTTAAGAAAGATGTATAAAAATGACTTAAAATAATCAAATGTATGCTTCTTTAAAATGCAAACGACAACAAGGCAGACAAAATAGACATGAGCTTAATTTTTAGTGAAGGAAAGCCTCATTTTTGATTTGCTGGACTTCTCCTTTAAAGCCTCCCTGCTGTGTGTTTGTGTCCAGCAGCCAGTGAAGGAGGTGCTCCCTTTGCCTCGACAGCCTACCCCACTTCCTGTCACCTCCTCTTCCTTTGCAACCCCTGCTGCCACCTCTGAAAAACACACCACGGGCTCTATCCAGCATGTTCAGTTGGCCTCCTCAGGTGATCCATGCAGAGATGACCTATTTATGTGTCACTATTAAAAATACACCAAATCTATTCATCATGCTGATGACACTGGTTTGCATTTTATATGTGCCATGTGCCAAATATAAATTTTATTAAATTAAATCAACTGCAGCAGCACTAATTATAAATGCATGCACACACACAATTTTAGATTATTAAATCTCAGAGTTTGACCTTTGGCCTTTGTCATATTTGTTTACAGTAGTGACATCGCTCAATCATCTGAGGCCTCCAGAGAGGGACCTCTCGCCGCTGTCCCAGATGAAGGCTATTAAATCACTGAAGCATGCCGGCTTAACTGCAGTCTTCACTGGGCAAACGGTGAGTTACACACGCCACAACCTTCAAAACAAACTTTACTCCCGGATAAAATTCAAAGGAGTTACAATAAAAATGACTGATACGTTGTTTGAGGTCAGTTCAGAGCAAAGAAAAAAAATCTTGTATTTGATTTAAGAAGCGTAATCTTGTAAATGTTTAGATTAATGCTCGCCTCTAGAAGTTTGCATTCATGTGGCATACGAATGATGAAAGCTGCTTCTTGTTTCAAAGCCATGCAGCCCACCCTCCCCAGAAAAAAAAAAAAAAAAAAACTTTGTGTGGCAAATCGTCAGGTCCAAAGGTCAGCAGAGTCACTGTCTTACATTATTAAACTCTGACAGCATCTTGACAAAGAGGAGCTGCTGGAGGAGTTACCAGCTGCCGATGTAATCTTGGCTGACATCGACTCCCTGGTGCCAACTCTCGACGAAGCCGGCCGCCCCATTCCAGAGTGGAAACGACAGGTGATGGTGCGGCAGCTGCAGGTCAGGCTGAGAGATGATGAGGAGCAGAGGAGACAGGTACTCTTCACCTGGGCTGTTGTATTGCGACACTGAAACAATTAACCTTACCCTTTCCTTGAAGACTCATCAAAATATATTTGTGTCTCCAATAGGACATGGAAAATGGCTATGTACCAGCAGATACCTGGAAGTTCTCACAGGCCCACAATGCCATCCTGGGGCCCTTTGGTGAGCTTCTAACAGAGGAAGACTTGGTTTACTTGCAGCAGCAGATTGAGGCTGTTTCTCTCCAGAAATGCTGCCAGGCCTATGAGCTGGAGCTGACCAGGCTAACTGAAAAGCTACGGGAAATTTTCCCCGATCCCATCGTCAATATTTCCCTCAACAAAGACCTCCTGCAACAGATGGACTCTGACGGGAAAATGCACCTGACTTTACCCGCCTGGTGCAGCCGGGTCTTAGAGATTGTTAGGAGTATGTCGCTGCTGGTGTCGAATCTGACCCAAACAACGGACAAAGAAAGTGACTGGAGGATGGTGGAAGGCATGGTGGAGGGGATGAAAGGTTTACAAGAAGTTAAAGACATTTCAGCAACTGATTTGGACCATGAATTGGTGCAGCAAAGACAAGAAGAGATGAGACCAATGCCTGGATGCAGGGTCCCTCCTATTGCGATGGCGTCTGCCTTTAGCCACCGTTTGGAGAACCAGAGCGAGAGCAGAGCACACAGGGAGAAGGTGGAGAGAGAGATTCAACAGTCTGGGGTGTCGGTGAGGAACCTTAGATCCAACTTTGAGGGTCAGACTGGTGGAATATACTCTTTTGCTGGAGATGCAGAAGGAAAACAGGAGATTAAAAAACAGAATAAGGTTGGAGCTTCTGGAAAAAACAGTCATGAAGTCGACTCAAGCCTCAACCAGGATCCCTCCAACAAGCAAACTGTTTGTGACACTAAAGGCTTAAGGAAAGAGCGAATAGTGGTGCTGTTCCTGAGCCACTGGAAGAAGTCAGCATATGCTATCTCAATGAGAGCAGCGAGGCAGAGGGCATCAGAGAGGGTGACAGTTGAAGACAACAACACATCCCTTCTTCAGTTCTGCCAGCAGCGAGGGGCTGTGGACAAAATGCTGAACTCCTGGAGGACTAAGCTCGACCTTGACGACGCTTCCTCCGATGTCTTACAGAACCCACCCCCACAAGTGACTTTTTCTCCCGAGCAGTTCCTGCCCAATGTGAACGGTGTTGCAATGGGCCATGACAGTTTGACCCTTGACCTCTTTATGTTGGGTTACTTCCACATCTTAGAGCAAGAGTTGACCGCCGAGGAGAGGAAGATGAGGCATCTTCTCTGCTTTGAAGTTTTTGACCATGTTGGCAGATTTCCCTGGGAGAAGGTGAGGGATTTTCATAAGGCCGTTCTGCAGGAAATCCAGTCCGGCAGGCGACGGTGGAGCCACGGCTTTGAAGACCTCAAGTTTCATTTCTTTGGTGAATCCAAACCAAGCAGCTGCCCGCTATCACCGGCATCATCTCTACTGCCGGAGTCCAATGCTGTGCCCAAAGTTGTAATACAAAGTGAAACCACAGATGAGAACAACAGCAGCAACTCAGACTTTTCTTGCTCCAATAACGAAGATATATGCAAATACATCGATCGCAGTTTTGCTTTCTGGAAAGAGAAGGAGGCAGAACTGTTTGACTTTGAACAATAAGCTTAAATGGGACGTTTTCATACAAAACTGTTAATGGGTTTATTCTGGGAAACTGATTGGCGCTGAATAAAATTATTGAAAACGTATTAATCATGTTTAATTAATGCAAACCAAAATTCTAAACGGACAATTTAGCACAAGCCTGCTGAAAAGTGTAAGTATGTATATGTAAGTATGTGTATGTATGTATGTATGTGCAGTTTTGGTTGATTTTCATAGCTCTTTGGTACCTATCTATTTCCTCTTGTGTACACACCCTGGTTTGCTGCAGTACCAGGATTATTGCTTTTTATTAATATTAGCAGCTGTGGTCAAAGGAACATGAAGTTGCTTGGAGATGGTCCTATAGCCTTCATCGTTCACATGAATATCTATAATCTTCATTCTGCGCCCCTCAGACAGCTATCACTTTAGTTTTGTGTTCAGTGTGGTGCACACAACAATACCAAACTACCCAGTGGCCCGTTCCCTTTAAACTGGGTAAATGGTTGTATAAAAGCTTGAAGGCACCTGCAATACTAACTCAAGTCAAATACTTTGTTTAAAACATGACAATAATTCAAAGATTAACAGTCTTTGAGGGTATCTGTCCATAATATGTTAGAATTTGTTTATAAAATAACCATGTTTTTGTTTAATATATTACATATTAAATAAAGGCTGCAGATATGCTTTAGATAAATGATTTTATGTGAAGCACTTTTCATAAGAAATTAGGCATGGTTTCAATGTGCTGTAAGGAGTACTAATTATTTATTTGTTTATGCTGATCTTATGTGTTTGTTTACATAAATAACACAGGGTCATAATGATGACTGTACTCAGTCAGAAATGCATTTTTTATTCGTTAATAAAACACTAATGAAAGTTTCAAAATGTATATGAAATGGTTTGATCAGGAGCTTGACAGGCTGAGGAGCAGAAAAGGTGAGGAATCGAAATAGGTGAGGTCGCGCATGCGCACAAGCGCTCCGAGATGACAGGAGGATGCTGAGCTGCATTCCCACCATTCTGTGAGGAGAGGAGGATCCCCCCCACCTCCCCTGCGCATCCAGGAGAAGAAGGAAAAAAGAAGAGCGATTAATAATAATAAGAATAATAATATTAATAATAACACCAAACTCGTGTAGAACCCGTCCAGGTTCGGCTGTTATCCGCCACCATGTCCGCAGGAGGAGATTTGGGGAACCCCCTGAGGAAATTTAAACTGGTGTTTCTGGGCGAGCAGAGCGGTGAGTCGGTGCGGTGGCGGGGAAGCGTGTGCGTGTGAAAGGCATGTGGTCCGGTTCGGTTCCGTTAGGCTCAAGTGCATGTCGGATGATAAACCGGGGGGGTTTTGGCCTTGGTGAATGCGACGCCTCACCGAGGAGGTGGAGGTGGAGGTGGGGGGGAACAGACCCGCACTTATCTCCATTTAACTCCTGAATGAAAACTGATCGAGTCCAAACTGTGATTGGAAAAAAAAAAAAACCTTTAATGTCTGATTTGTCGCAGATTGTCATGTCGAGCATCATATTTGGACTCTGCACCGTCACTCATCTCCACCCGTCTCCTCCTGTTTATTTCATTTCCATCCATTGTTCCCCTTATATCTCTCCTTTACTCTGTTGTGTAACCGTGTTAAGGTTTTTATTTTATTTCATTATTATTCCCTTCATTTTAGAGAGCAAACCAAAGTGCCTCCCATGTGTCAGCTCGGGACACACCCTAGACTGCTGATGTCTGTAGCATCTCCAAAGCGCGCAGTCTCCTGCACGCTCCCACCAACACGCGCATTAAAACAGGCCTGACAACATTAGAGGCTCACTGATGGGGCTGGGACACTTCAGAAAGGAGATGCTCCATAAAGCTCTGAAAATCATCCAAAAGCAGCAAATTAACTCATGAGCTATTTGTAATAATTTCAAGAAACATAAATTGCAAAAAGGACAAATATATATTGTATGGCAGCAGCTGGACTGGTGCGTCCTTTACAGGAGTGTGTGTGTGTGTGTGTGTTAGAGTGTGTGTTTGTGTGGCCTGTGCTGCAATGATGCTGTCCACTGGACTGTACCAAGGCCCAGTGTGGCCAGTGCCAAGTCACACATCTGATGGTGGAAATGCTGCTGAAGATGGCGTTCGTCGTGCACATGTAAATAAACACCGAGTTCATTTTAAGAGAACGCTCCGGCCACGTCCCTGTTTTTTCAGGACCAGTTTGTTGTGTGTCTAAACTCGACACAATCCCAGTTTTCATCTCAGTGCTCCAGCAAATGCTTTTAAGGGCAGGAGGCAGTGGAGGGGAAACAATTACTCGATCAATCGATAACAGAAACACCATTAGTTCTCGGCTCAAAGAGGAACAATATCGTGAACTTTTCAGCTGCTACACCATATTTTAGCTTCTCTGTAAAACTGGCTGAGTTACAGCTATTGTTGCATACTGTTAGATCAGCTGACTGTAGCAGCCATCTTAATTTGGGTCGACTACAAACGTTAATCAGTTGCAGATGTACATGTAAGGATTATATCCTGAGAGTTTTATTACAATCAGTCCAGTAGTTCATGAGATATTTTGCTAACAGACAAACACAGTTGACTCCAGTAGTTAATGGCAAAGTTTTAAAACAGATCTTGTGCACTTAGTGCTTAGAGTGTGTGCTGGAAACGACTCTCAGCTACCACCACACCAGATCTCAGCTCAATAGATGTAACATTAATTTATAGCTATTTTTGTGTTTAATAAGATTTATTGAATGCAGCAGCCACCTTAAATGGAAATGACTCCAAAATATAAACAGTTGTAAACGCTCATTCACTGATTATTTTCCGAGCGTTCATTAAAATCAGTCCTGTGGATCATAAGATATTTTGCTAACAGACGCTGTGAACAAGGTTCCATTTTACTGACGGTGTATATTCCTGTAATCATCAAACATATTTAGAATCCCCTTTATTTCTTTCCATGTGATCTCAGTAGTTTTTTGAAGAACAGGGTTTATTTGTAAATGTGGTAAATACTGAGAAGCTTAACTAAACAAAAAATTTAAAAATCAACTTGTGCGTGTTTTGTTTCAGTGGGGAAAACCTCTCTCATCACTAGGTTCATGTACGACAGCTTCGACAACACGTATCAGGTGAGGCTCAGAATGTCTGAATATATTACTGAACTACTGATCGCAGATCTGCTCAACAAACATAATTCGGTTTGGTTAAATAATAATCTAGTAGGATCATAATATTAATTTATACAATGTAGATAATCTATGAAATGCCCTTGAACATATTCTCATTTTACCGTTTTTTTATCCCAAGATGACCAAAGTATCCCTAACAGAGTCCTCTTTCTCTGAGGTCTGAGAGACATTTATTCTTGTGACAAAACTTATTTTAACGAATACCACTTTACAATAAGGCGCCCCCTAAAAAGTTTATAGATATGTTATTAATTCCTCTATAAACACTTTATAAATCATTAATAAACTGCTTATTACGCATTAAGTAAGGGTGACAGAGAGACAAATCTGAGCAGTTTCTTGCAAAATAGTGAGACAAATCTGTCCACTTAATCTAGAGTTTTTATATTCAACATTTCAGACTCAGTTACGACCTTGTAAGCACAATAAGCATTTGTAAACCTATTTCTTTAGCATATAATATTGTATTTTATCACTGCATTATAAGTCTCTAATTTTATTTGCTAAAAAATAGGTTTACAAATGCTTATTGTGCTTACAAGGTAGTAACTTAGTCTGAAATGTTGAATATAACAACCCCAGATGAAATATATAGGTGAACAGATTTGGCTCACTAGTTGACAAGAAAATGGTCAGTTTTGTGTCTGTCACCCTTAATTAATACATAATAAACAATTATTAATGATTTATAAAGTGCTTATAGAGGAGTTAATAGCATATCTATAAACTATTTATTAGCCATCTATAAGGGGAGCCTTATTGTAAAGTGGTACCTTTAAATGTTTAGATTTACTTATAAGCTGTTCCCTTGTTGTTCTTCTGCTCACTCAGGCGACCATTGGAATTGACTTCCTATCGAAGACCATGTACCTGGAAGACCGGACAGTAGGCCATCTTGATTGTGGTTTAAACGTTGCATGTGATAAATACTACTAATACTACTAATACTACTAAAAATCAGGCAAATTTCCAGTTTAAATTGAGCCGCCATCTTTCGGCTCTGGTTTGACTAATCCTTGATTTGATTTGCCTTATAACTGCTTCCTTCACACTTTAACGTGATTATCTGTAGGGTAATTCTGGCAGAAATAGCTTTTCGTGTGCTCACTTTTTTCATCTTTAATAAGCCTTACTCGTGGATGATCTGCTTTAGCCACAGGAAATGCTATTTATTCTGCGGGATCTGATCCTCTTCCAGCTGATACTGGCTTATCCCTCGCTCAAAGCTCTTTACATCTAGTCGTGTGCGTTGCAGTTAATGTGAAAACAGCTGCCAAAGGTGTGTGTGTTCACTTGTAGGTAAGGCTGCAGTTGTGGGACACAGCTGGACAGGAGCGCTTCAGGAGCCTCATTCCGAGCTACATCCGGGACTCTACGGTGGCTGTGGTTGTCTATGACATCACAAGTGAGCAAAAAGTCATCGGCTAATGACTTCCTGTGTGCACATTGATTGGCACGGGTTTGTAAAGTCCCTGATATTCTACTAGAGTGGTGCTCTGGTCTCCACAGATGTGAATTCATTCCAGCAGACCTGCAAATGGATTGACGACGTCAGGACAGAGAGAGGAAGCGACGTCATCATCATGCTCGTAGGCAACAAGACAGATCTGGAGGAGAAGAGGTAAAAAGGAAAGAAAGGGAAAGCTGATCCATAATTAACTCTGACGTTTAGCTGCAGTTGGGAGGATTTAGGACAATAAACACGCAGCCGTCGAAAGCAACACGTCAGCTTTGAATGATTCAGCGTGAGATGTTGAGTCTGGCTGAATTTCCTGCAGGCAAATCATGATTGAAGAAGGAGAGCAGAGAGCCAAAGAGCTGAACGTCATGTTCATCGAGACCAGTGCCAAGACGGGCTCCAATGTCAAGCAGGTGACCCCCGCAGCTTCTCCATCTTTCACAGCGTTTTGGGCAACACTTTTCAGCACATTCTGGCTTTTTTTTTATTTATTTTTTTTTACTTTGTGCGGTGATTAGGAGAGATGGATTGATAAATAACATATTTAAATGTAAAAATGCTCAGCGGCATAAAGAATATTTGGTGTATTTTCAATCGTTTTAGATACCCTTGAAGAAGGAAAGGGCAAGCTCTTAAAATCCACTTGGGCAATACAATTTTGAAAATATTTTAGATAATTGTGCTCATTACCTCACTTTTATGTCAAATTGTATATTATAAATGGAACAATGGTATGGATAATATACGGCTTTTACTTCATACAATTAGTCAATAGTTTATAGAGATGATCAGTGGTAAATTGTGGTTCACAAACTGGCAAACAAACTGAAATAATGAAGAATAACTTTATTAACACAAAGTTTGGATACAACAACAACAACAGCAAACAGTCTAGTATTAAAATACAAGATTCAGATCTTATATATCTGACATACCATAATTTCCCGACTATTGAGCGCACCTGAATATACAGTAAGCCACGCCCATTAACTTAAGAAGAAATTATAGACCACTCTTGTCTATAAGTTGCAGGTGTCCACGTTGTACCATGAACAGAAAGAGTTTTTAAACTTTTAATTAAATATGTATCGTAACATACACAAATACATACAGTGAATGTTTTTTTCTGAATAGTGCCTGTGACCCGGCTAGTTAAAAAAAGATAAAAAAAATACAGTAGCCTACCAGGAAAAGTTACTGATCACAATCTTCATCTTCCTTCCTCACACTTATGTCAAGTGGCTGCAAATACTTTGTTGTGTCTCCAGGAAGGGAGGAAACAAAGTTTCATTGGTCCACTGTGACCTGTTCGGTAATTTCATTGGTCAGATTTTTTTACAACCATCATTTATAAAAGTAGTCTCACTGAGACACGAGGACCCACCCCACAAGGAAGATGTGTAAAGGGTATAGCTATGTGAGCGTTCGGGTGTGACGAGGCAAAAATATTTTGGTGGCATGAAGCTCATAGCCCATAAAAATCCATAAATTAGCTGCAGCATTGTATAAGTCACGGTGTTCAAAGCGTGTAAAAAAAAAGTAGCGGCTTATAGTCTGGAAATTATGGTACATCTTTTTAAAATGTCCAATGTACTTTTACCTGAACAGTATCGCTATTGATACAAGACATCCTTATATTGGTTTTGCTAATTTTACTCAATATATTTTATTTGTTACTGTTCAAAAATATAATGGTGCTAAATTTTAGCTTTCAACTCCAGGAATCAATCAACAAAACATCATTATGTCACACAAAGCGGCTGCCATCTTCCAGGACAGTTGAATTTTTGATTTATTCACATTTTAACCTTCTTTATTCACTTCTTGTGTCGTTCGTCTTTCCTCCTCCTCCTCGTTTCTCCTCCTTTCAGCTGTTTCGCCGAGTCGCCGCAGCCCTACCTGGCATGGAAAGCCTGGACGATGCAAATCCCGAAGGCAGTATCCTTTACAGCCGCTCTGATTCACTGCACGCGCCGAGCTCCTGAGAAATGGGCGGCTTATTTTTAATCTCTTAGTGGCTGCTGGCACTAACGCCAACAGACAGAGCGGCCTTCTGTCTGCAGCAGCATCAGTCATTAAAGTGTTTATGTCGAAGAGGGAAGGAATGCACAGAGTGAGGGTTTTTATAGGAGCCAAGGTGCAGCACCACACAGTGGCTGTCAGGGATGTGACAAGAGGAGAGGACGTGAGATGGAGGATTGATTTTAGCAAAGAATTAAATGGAAATTTAGGTATTTAGTTAGTTGATTAAAACTTGCGCTGGCACAAATGAAGATAAAATGACAAATTTAATCAAATTAAGAGAAAAAAACATAAGCTCTTCATCCATCATTTTTCAGTCAGGTCATCTGGACAGTTTTTCTTTTTTTGTGCTGAAACGTTTCGCCTTCAATCCGGAAGGCTTCATCAGTCAAGGAAACACACAACAAAACTGATTCTTCCTCCAACAGCTTACTCCAAAGTGGAACAAACCAGTTCTGCTTGTGATTAGATGGTCTCTTTGGTACGCCCCTCCTCCATTGTCGGCCCTCTTCCTTATTGACAGTCTTGTCAAACTGGTTGAAAACAACAAAGTCCATGCTCAATAATCCAGGTATAAAATCCAACATTTTTCAGTCACGTCATCTGGATTGTTTCTGGTTTGTTCCACTTTGGAGTAAGCTGTTGGGGGAAGAATCAGTTTTGTTGTGTGTTTCCTTGACTGATGAAGCCTTCCGGACTGAAGGCGAAATGTTTTAGCACAAAAAAAAGAAACTGTCCAGATGACCTGACTGAAAAATGTTGGATTTTATACCTGGATTATTGAGCATGGACTTTGTTATGAGCTCCTCATCTTGTTGTAGTGTGAGATGATGAATTAGAAACTTTGTTAATTTAATACATCCAGATCAGAGTTTTTTGACTCTATATATTTTATTTTTAAATGTTGCCACTTGGAGTGCTACGTGAAATGCTGCACAATAGTCTTGAATCTTTCCACATTCCTTCACAGTTTCATAGTTCATAGAGAGCTTTTAAAGAGGTTTAGGTCCATCTTGTCTTTTAAAGTTTTTCCTCAAGTCTTGGCAGTGTTTAAACTCACTTTTTGTTCATTTCTTATATTTGGCACTGGTAGCACATTCAATTCAATTTAGTTTATTCATATAGTGCCGTCACAACAGAAGTCATGTCAGGGCACTGAACAGAAACATTCATAAATATATAAAAAGTTAATAACATTATTTATCTGAGGAGCAGACTGCTTTGAGTTTAACTTGATCGCAGACTCATCTTGAGCAAGCATGAACATCTTATAAAACCTGAGCATGTTATTCCTAAGATGCTAAGGTCCAAAAACCAAAACTTCAGTCTTGTCTGAGTTTAAAAGCAGAAAATTAAGGTTCATCAAGGTTTTTATGTCTTCAAGATAAGCTTTTAGTCTAAGTAACTCATTGGATTAATGGGTTTTTGTGGACAAATATAACTGTGTATCATCAGCATAACAATGGCAATTTATTCCATGCTGTTTAATAACTTTATGGAAGCATATATAAGGTAAAGAGTATTGGGCCAAGCACTGAACCCTGAGGAACTCCATGACTAACTTTCGTGTATGAAGAAGATTCATTATTTACATTGGAATCTATCAGATAAATGCTATTTAAACCATTTTAGAGCTGTTCCTGTAATTCCAACATCATATTCAAGCCTCTGTAGTAGAATATTGTGATTAACTGTGGCACTGAGGTCTAACAGGACCAGTGTAGACATACAGGGTTGTGAAGTGTTTAAAATATGAGGAAAGTGAGCAAGAGGAGGACAACTAAAAAATGCCTAAAATCTATCTGCAGCAGATAAACAAACAAAAATTAAGTCATATCTTTAATAATTAGAGAAAAAGATCCATTAAAGACTTGAGAGATGCTTCATCTATCACCATCTGTAAGACAAGTTTCAAGCTAATCACTTATTAGGAATCACCTTGTTGCTAAAATACTCCTTTATGTATCAAATTGTGACAATTTTAATTGTGTTTCTGACCACTGGTTCATCCCTTGAGTTTTCCTTAATGGAACCATTCCCAGTGATTGACATCAAGCTGGACAAACCAGCAGAGCCGACTGTCCCTGAAGGCGGCTGCTCGTGTTAATGCAGAGCTGCGATTGGCCGACTCCCTTCACACCATAGGCTTGTTGTGTTTCTTAATGCTGGTTAGCTCCCAGTTGACTTCTCTAATTGGACATAGGATCGAAGCCTTGTATCTGATTGGACAAATCAAACGTTACATCTTTCAGTCTTGTTCAGTTGTAAGATATTGTAAACTTTGTCAATACGTAAGGGACTGAAGGAGTAAAAGAATGAAGGGAAACAATGTTACCATAAAAAAAACAACAATTAAAAAAAAAAAACCAAAGAAAGAGAGAAGAAGAGGACAACCAACAGAGTTTTTTTTCACCGTTATGTTTTGTATTTTTTTATATCTAATAAAAAAGAGAAAGCACCAAAACTAATGCCTAAACACAGATGGAGGAAGAAGTTGAGGGGGTCAGCCATTTTTCCACATGGCTGAACACGTCTGAATGTCTGCAGCACGCATGCACGCTGTTCTGATTTTTGACCTTTGACCTTTGGCCCCACCCTCCAGGGCCTGTGCGCTCTGGGAGGAGGCCGAGCATCTTAGAATGTTTTCTAGCATCTCTCTATAGCATCTCATAACAAAAGTCATACATTTGATATTCCCACTGGAGTTCAGTAGGTTCACCTAACAGTAGCTGTGAAAACGTGATACTCTTATCTCTCTATGGGTTTAACTTTTATAGAACAAACTATACCGTGGTTATAAACCGAAAAGAAAAGTCAGCTTACGATCACAACTCCCGCATCCCGTCAAACGACCCTAGACTTCTCCTCTCCTCCCTCTGTCTCTCCCTCCAGCCTTCCCATCCCTCCATCCCGGTGATACACTTATATCAACCCACTGTAATGGACTGCACTGTATATAATAATGTAATATGTATGTTGTGAACGTCCCTCTGTAGAAGTGGTCCTTGTTCACCAGTATGAATAATGTAATAATGTTTAATGATTAATAAACTGCAGATTAAAGGGTTTCACTCTCCTAACTCTTTACATTCACCTGGCTGCATAAAGATTTGTTCCGCTGTGGTGATCGCCGGTCGCTGGACGGCGAAGGCAGGCCATGATTGCCTGTGTTTGCGCGTGCATGAGCTTGTGCACCTGTCTGTAAGCAAATATCTCCTAACTGAGTAGGTTTTGAACTGTTTAAGATGGCCGCCACAGGCAAATAGCTTTAGAAAACACAAAAATGGTTAATAGCCAATTTTAGAGACATTCATCTGAGCACTGAACGTGCAAGATCTTTGTTTAAGTTCAAGTTCAAGTCAACTCTATTGTTGTTTCCACCACATGTGGTACATGAGGTGGAACAGAATTATGTACACAGGGTCCCAGTAACACCCAAAAATAACAATATAAAGTATAAAAAGAAACAGTAAAATAAGGATCTAAGATATAAACTAAACAAACGCCAAACGGTACGCTAAAAGATCTAAGATATACGCTAAACGCTAATAATGTAAAACAATCCGGCATAATGACAGCAGCCTGAACATGAGTTCTGTGAGCAGATGGGTATGAATGAATACATCAGCATGAGATAATCAGCAGCATGAGATCAGCAGCATGGATAATCAGCAGCACATGTAAGTCACATATCACCAATTAAAGTGGCATTACAGTGATTTTTCTTTTTTCTTACAATGATTATCCTGGTTAGGGTTTTATTAGACTAACAGCTTCAGGGTAGAAGCTGTTCCTCAGTCTAGTGGTTCTACACTTAACGCTCCACAACCTCCTGCCTGAGGAGAGCGGGGCAAAAAGTGTGTGTGCTGGGTAAGTGGAGTCCTTCATGATGCAGGTGGCTCTCTTCCTGTATCTAGAGGTGTAGATGTCTGTGATGGTGGGGAGGCTGGCTCCAGCAGTCTTCTGTGCAGCCTTCACCACTCTCTGCAAAGCTTTTCTTTCTGTAGCTGTGCAGCCTCCATGCCACATGTTGATGCTGGAGCACAGGATGCTCTCCACTACACACCTGTAGAAGGAGGTGAGGACTGAGCTTCAGCTCGCCTCAGCCGCCTGAGGAAGTAGTCTCTGATGTGCTTTCTTGATCAGGCTGGTGGTGTTGTTGCCTCAACTAAAAGTTTGCCCTTACCTATTTAAAGTAATTTTTGTCTGTTAGCAAAAGATTTCATAAACCAATGGAGGGATTTTACTGAAACTTCTTGGAAACAATCTTTAGATGTGCCACTGCAGCTCATTAATGTTTTGAGTCAGTCCAATTTAAGATGGATGCCACAGCCATCTGAATGTACGTAACACAAAAGTGGTTATGATTCAGTCTGTTACAAATGTGCTCAAATTTGGTGTGACAGCAGATCACACAACACACTTGAAGAAAGACATCCCACTATAAAATTGACTTCACAAATATCAGTTTAAACCAAAATGACTTTAAGGCCATCATTTCTCAACATTTAGATGATTCTAATCTAAAAATAATATACGCAAGCCTTCTAGGAATGCTAGGCCTTTACTTTATTATTATTAATTTTTGTGGTTTTCTTTTTACTGAATACAAATAATATTTACAATATATGGTTTACAGAGTGAGGCAGAAGAGTTTTGCTCTGGCAAGTTGATTCCAGCACAGCTGCAATGTTTTATGAGGCCTTAAGAATAAACTATGTTTTTTATTTTTTTTTATTTTAGTTGAAAATACACAATTTATTGGTCTTGTTCCACAAGTGTGCAAAGTTAACTTGAGTTTTCCAATGATGTTTGCCAAATAAGCTTAAGAAGTCACTTGTACTCAGTTTTGATATTGCTAAAAATGTGACATAAAAGATATTAAAGGTCACCTTTTTTGATTATTCAAAATAGGCCTAAAAGAAAGAAACAAACAAAAAGCTAAATAAAACGTTAAAAACTGCAGAATTTTTCATTGCAAAACGTGATGTTTTCTAATCAGCTGTTCTTTATTTAGCCTTTTTAAAATGTATTTATTTATTTATATTTATGAGAAAAACATCATGATTGTAGGGTTATTAAATGAGGAAGAACAGTGCAGCAGCCAACCGGTCATCCAGTCTGTTACCTCTCACATTTTCTCCCATCCGTGTCGAAGCGGTGATGATTATCGCTCCGAGGCTCTCGGCGGTGAGTCAGAGTCTGAAAACCTGATAGGTGAGGGGAAGTTGAGGTGGAAAGAACCTTTTAGAAGAAACGTCGTCACTGTGGCCCGTCAGGTCCCTTCACTGAGCTCGTCTGGTGTTAGAGGACAGGAATCCCCCTGGGTGAAGGCGGTTGGTGCCGTTAGTGGACAAATGAACTCCGTGGAGCACTGAGGGATGGACTTCCTCCGCTGCATCAGGCGCAGTGGTCTTTCCCAAAATAATACATTTGGACGAGTTTAAAACAAGCCCAGACATCCACAGTGATAAATATGACAAAAATAAGAATGCAGCAATGTGCACATTAAATGAATCTAGTTTAATAATCTCGTCTGCATCAACAACTCCTTGGTCTTGAACACAAGGTTTCCTCCTGAGAAGGACACACCTCCCGCACCATGAGGACTTGATGTATGATCTCAGCGGGTCACTCGGGAGCTCATTTTTGCGCAAAGCAGATCATGTCTCGAGTGGAGGTGATCGTGGACAACAACCTTCGCTCTCTGCTGAGGGAGCTTCGTACTGACATCGCGATGGCTGTGGACGATCCTTTCCCCGTTGTGTACGGCTTGGCGGACAAAAACATCATCACTGAGCAACTGCTGAAGGTAAGACAGCAAATTATATAAACCTTTAGATTTTAGACTAAAGGCATTACATTCAACCGTCTTGCTTTATTAGGACACGCTGGAGAAGGAGGGAAGTGAGGGCATTCACAAAGCCATGTACTCCCTCCTGTCCTGGGTGTTGGAGCAGAGCAGATCCACCATCCAGGCTTTCTGGAACAACTTGTCCAAAGACTACAACATGGACAGCTATCCCAGACTGCGGACGCTCCTCGCCAACATTCAGGCCAGTATGTGACATTTGTGACAATTGAATTTCACTTCACAGTTACAAGGGCAGATTTATTCAGGTCCACGTTAATGATTCTGTCAGGACGAGAGGCTCCAAGTTCCAAAGCAGAAACTGGATCTTCAGGAGGTCTGAAAGCTGCTCAAAGTAAGAAGAGGAACCACGAGGACCGGGGAGCAAACTCCAAGCATTCAGAATATCACGCCAAGACAACAGATGGAGCAGGTCTTCTTCCTTTGATGTCTTTTCTCCAACGCTCAGATTAGGAGCACAAAGAGAAATGATCACTGGCTTTCCAGAAGAGATTCAGAAACTTTGCAACATTTACAACCCTGATGTTGAACAGGTTGGAGCGTTGAGTAAAATGTAAATAAAACAGAATGCATGGAAAGAAAATAGATCATTTGGAAATTTGTGATACCGACACATCTCAGAAATGTTGGAACAGGTCAGTAAGAGGATTGGGTATGAAGGAGTCATTTAGAAGTAAACATGGGCAGAGGTTCACCAGTCTATAAAGAACTATTTCCAACTGTAAAGAGAGGCCTGCTTAGGCTCTCATAATCTAGAAATATATGTGATATATCTTTGAAATGTTATCTACCATTGAAAATGTTAATAAAAATTAAAGTGAGAAAAAAAAATTCTAAAAATATAACAATTTCAGAATACTGTTCCTCGATGGGAAAATTAGGAAAACTTTGAGTATCCTATCATCTAAAGTTCATAACTTCATTAAAATATTTTAAAAAAATCTGCGCTCAAAGGACCGTGAAAGTCAACATTAGATGTCTGTGATCTTCAGGCCTTCAGGCGCCACTGCAACAAAAACAGGTCTGATGCTGCTCTGGACATCCCAGCATGGAGTCAGGAACATTTCCACAAATCACTGAAATACTGGTTAAAGCTCCAACATGCAAAAAGGAAATGTGAACATGCAGAAATGATGTCGTCTTCTCTGGACCAAAGTTAAACTGTTCTGTGATCAGACAAAGTGGAATTTGAATTTCCTTTTAATAACAACAAAAGCTATTCCCTCCATTTTAAAAAAGAGGAGAGGGACCCGCTGGCTTATTATCAGAACAGTTTAAAAGCACGCCTCTCTGATGGTATAGTGGTGCATTGGTGACAATGGCATTACACATCTGGAAAGACGCCATTAATGCAGAAAATTATATGGAAGTTTTAAAACAACATCTGTTCCAATACAGCAAAGAAGACCCAGGACTGTTGAGCAGCTACATCAGGCAGCAAGGGGACAAAACTTCCTCAGTTCCTTGATGTTTACGGACTGTTGTTAAAAAAAAAAAAACAGAGGGGAAGTTTCACAGTAGTAAACATGGCCCTGTCACAGTAGTTTTGAGATGTGTTGCTGCCTTAAAAATCGAAATTGTTTCAGTTTTTCCCCAAGAAAATTGTATATTTTCTTAGATTAAACATTTAGTATGCACTTACTGTGTTCAGTGGTGAAATACTCTGTTTTTATTTACATTTTACACAAAGTCCTAACTTTCTGGAATTAGTAACAGTTATTGCATCGCATGCTTTTCTTCAGGGAGTAAAGTTAAGCTGTACAGAGTGAAGAGTCAACCACACACGCTGCAGCTCCCGGATGGAAATGGTAACAGTATATTAGTCTGTTAAAAAAAAAAAAAAGAAATTAAAACAATCTACATAAACAATTACTTCATGCTTCAAAGCTTCTAAAATCCTTCACAGGTTTGCAGGTTGTGTCTTCGTCAGCACAGAGAGGAGTACCATTTGCCTCTTCGTCCTCGGGCTTCTCAAAACCTCCACCAGTCAGAAGCGAAAACAAAGAGAAGATACTAATTAAAAAAGAGTACACTTTGGATGGTAAATCGTGAAACTATTTATGTAACGCAGATGAAACTGTAATATGACAAGTGCATCCAATACAGGAGCAGCAGAATGTATTTAAAAACAGGACATAGCTGTTTTTAGGTCAGATTATTAGTAATTTTGTCTATCTACAAATAAGACTATTTGAAATAAACATGTTTTGTCATTCAACAGGGATGAGCAAAAAATGTGTCAAAGTTGCTGAAGGGTTTTGCTCTCAGGGTGTAGCAGAAACAAAAGGAGAGAAGTCCAAGTTTGCAAAGACCACATTTTACCACCAGGGGGAGACAAACACAGTCATGGTAGCATCACTTGCAGCCACACACACAACTTTTGAAGCCCAAATGAAAAAGTTTGTGTGTGTGTGTGTTTATCATTTTAATAAAAGTGCATACATATACATGTTTGTGTGTGTCTTTATAGGCTCACTGTAATGATGACGAGTGTGCGGTGTGTAAAGATGGAGGAGAGCTGATCTGTTGTGACGGATGTCCTCGAGCCTTTCATCTGGCCTGCCACAGCCCTCCACTCACCTCCATACCCAGGTGATCCAACATGTGCTTCATTTTATGCTGTGGCATGTGTTTATGCGCTAACAGGGGGGCTTTGTAACCAAAGAGGCTTCAATACTGCATCACACACCCTCTTTTCTTTCAATCTGCAGTGGCTCTTGGCAGTGTGCGTGGTGCTGTGGGCACAGGGTGAAAAGAGAGGACATCCGACTTCCTTTACTGGTAAACCCCTGAATCATTTCCTTATATACAATTTGAGCACAATAAGCTAAAGGATGCACTGATCAGAGATGCTAATAAATCACCTCATGAAAAAAGAACAGTATTCAATGAAAACCATCACATTTTTAGTATTTATGTGGAGAGGCTATCAATTCAATTTAATTCAGTTTATTTATATAGTACCACATCACAACAGAAGTCATCTCAGGGCACTGAACAGAAACATGCAAATATAAAAATCTAAATTTATCATTATTTATCTGAGGAGCAGACTGCTTGGAGTTTAACTCTATCACAGAATTCTCATTTTGAGCAAGCATGAAGGCGACAGTGGAAAGGAAAAACTCCCTCATGAGGAAGAAACCTTTAGCAAAACCAGGCTCAGGACAAGCTGCCGTCTGCTTCGACCGGCTGGGTTTGGTAGGAGCAGGAAGGAGGAACAGATACACAATGGCAGGTCAAGAATCTCATAGTGAGATAGAAATAGTATCAAATGAAAACTATTCAATTGGAACAATTCATTTTAAGAAATTAAGTCAGTTTGTCCTCTAGTGGTCTAAACCTATAGCAGCATAACAAGCCAAAGGTTTATCAAAAAAGAAAAGTCTTAAGCCCAGTCTTAAAACTGGACATGTGTCAGTCTCATGGACAGAAACTGGAAGTTAGTTCCACGACAGAGGAGCCTGATAACTGAAAGATCTTCCTCCCATTCTGCATTTGGAAACTCTAGGAAACACACGTAAGCCTGCAGTCTGACAGTGAAGTGCTCTGTTAAAATATGGGACAATAAGATATGTAATATAAGATGGAGCGAGGTCGTTGAGCGCTTTGTAGTTCAAATTCAAGTTCAAGTAGGTTTTATTATCATTCACATGTGGTATGAGGTCAAACGGAATTGTGTACACAGGGTCCCAGTTACATCCAACATTAGGAAAAATATAAATTGTAGAAAGAAACAGTAATTTTCAGGTCTCTTGTAAATGAGTCCCTGAGGCTCAATGGGATTAACCTGTATAAATAAAGGTTGAATGAAAAATAGGTTAGGTTAATAGTTGTATGTTAGAAGTAAGATTTTGAATTCAATTCTGAATTTGACAGGGAGCCATTGGAGAGAAGCTAAAACTGGAGAGATATGATCTCTCCTATAACTCCAGTTAAGACTCTGGCAGCAGCATTTTGGATGAACTGAAGACTTTTTAAAGAAGTATTAGGACACCCAGATAATAAACCATTGCAATAGTCCAGTCTAGACGTGACAAATGCATGAACCAGTTTTTCTGCATCATTTTTATAAGATGTTTCTAATTTTAGTGATATTACACAGGTGGAAGAAGGCAGTTCTGGTAACGTTTTCAATAACATTCATTAACGCTATCAATCAAACGTATGATCAATCATCACAAATCATAGCATCATTTCAGCACTTCCTTGAAAAATTAAGCTTCTTTTCTTCAATGTGTCTGTTTTGATATGAAACACTTATTGTGTGCAGGCTCCCGCATCTCAGACTCAGCAAACAAACACAAACTCCTGTATCTCAGTGACGGACAGCTCCTTTTACTCCCCTCTACCATCATCCATCACAAGTGATACGGCCTCTGTCAACGCGCCAAGTGGCAGCAATCAGGTGAAGACTTTATGTTTTTCTTTCTTGGTCCCTTTTTCAACTCCTTTCCCTTCGTAATTTCTTTCACCACTTTTTGCAAAAGTAGTCTTGTTTGCTACGAACTGTGATCACAGTGTCCAGGAGGAGAGTCCGGCGTGAGGGACGTCTGTGGCATTTGTCACCTTGGCGGAGGAGACCTGATTCTCTGTCACCAGTGCTTAAAGTGTTTCCACGGGCACTGTCACTTCTCCAAGTAAGAAACGCACCTTTTTCCCGTTAATGCATTATTACAGCTCCCTAGACTTGAGAAGATGAAAAGGAATAAAGTATTTAAGTGACATCAGCGTCTAAGATCTTAAAGTAAAGTGTGTTTCTCAAGGCTTCCACCTTTTGTTGTTGGCATCGATCATCCATGTGCATTAAGATTTGCTAGATTATTATTATCTGGCAAATGTTGACTAATGGATTGTAAATGGGCCTCTGCAGCTTCATGCGCTAACTGAGGATCAATATCGCTAAATTAGTTCAAAGATCCAAATGACAAATGGAAATTTTAATTCACTTGATAAGCTTTTCTGCAATATGTATATATTTTAGGAATGGCTGTCTTTTTTTTAAATCAATGTTACTTTTGCTTTAAATGTATTTGAACCATCATGGTGCTTTTTATCATTTATATTAGGGTTTGTTTTTTTTTTTTTGTTTTTTTTTTGTCAATGTCTGTGCTTTCATGTGTCTGTTAGCAAAATAGCTTAAGAACTACTGGACAGATTTCAATGAAACTTCCAGAAAATAATCACTGGAGGAACTTCTACAATTTTTTTAACTTTTCGAGCCAATCCAATTCAAGATGGCTGCCATAGTCAGCTGACTTCAGAAACCACAAAATAAGCTATAATTCAGTCACTTTTACAGATATTTAGCTCAAATCTGGTATAGAGGTAGGTGAGAGTTGTGTGCAAAATGTGCTTCAGTTGTTTCTGTTTGTGCAAATGTTTTGCTTCAAACAAGCAACAAATGTTGGAGTCAACCCTGTTTGTCTGTTAGCAAAATATCTCATGACTAATTGAACTAATTTTAATGAAACTTTTATAAAATAATTTTTGCATGTACATCCAGAACTGGTTAACTTTAATTGTCGATCCAATTCAAAATGTCTCCCACGATATACAATCCTTCAAAGCATGCTAGGTCTTTAATGTAATATAATAGAGTTCATATCCTTTTTTCATGAAGAGCCCAAATCAAGTATAATTTGCCAGCTGAAAGGGTTTGAAGCTCTCTCTCTGTAACCCTCACATTGCATATTGATTGATGGAAACGTGATCCACCGCAGCGCTGACTCACTCACAGCGTCCGTGTGCTCCCCAGGGGCAGATCTATCTGCTCGTCGTGCTGTCGTTTGTGGGGCAGCTCTGCAGAGAAAGAGTCCAGAGGCCTGCAGGTGTGTCTGCTCACATCTCCAACAAGCACTCTGAAAGAGAAAATCCTGAATATTCTGCATTATAATCCTGTTTGTTTTCATGTGTTCAGCTTGCACCGGCGGTCCAGAACACACTCAGTCAAGATCAGAGCGCCCCCAACGCTGAGCCACTGGTCAATAAAGATGAACTTGACTCCATCCTGGGAGACGTGAGTGAGGACACTGATGTAAATGTGTTTCAGATGTGCCTAATGCATGCGAGACACATGAAAGCTCATCTTATTGCACAGAGGAGGGGTTGTGATATAGCCTTTCCTGCAAATCAATAAGTGATGAAGAGCAATGTGTCATTCTGGATTAGAGCAACATTTGTCTGCACTGACTGGGATTACGTGTCTCTGCTGTGCTTTGAGTGCAATTTAACTTTAAGTGGCACAGCAGCTACAATCACTGTTGAAGTTAGAAAACCTGGAAATTATTTATATAACACATTACTTTCTGCAAGTACTGTACCAGAGTAAAAAATAAAATGAGAAAAAGACATTATTGTTGCTCGAGCAATATGTATGCAAAGATGCCTGGTTGAAAAAAAAACAGCAAAAATTTAAAAATGATCTAGTTTTATGTCTTTTAACTTGTTAAATCCACTTTAAGAACATGTTTTCACTTTACAAATGTAAGGCGTCAACATTGATAAGATATATTTTTCCAGCACTGAAGCTGTTGCTGCTGATTGTGAAAATCAAGAAATTGGCAGGAAATTTCAAAATAAAAGACCAAACTGGTCTCAGAAGGTTTGAAAATGGACAAATCTGTTGTGTACCTGTGTTTTTTTATACTTACTAGGAACATTTTAAGGACAAATGAAAATTAGTGCAAACAGTATTTGTATTTTAATGTCCAAAATTTTAACAGCTTTGTAGTAACTCTTTAACATTTTATGCTCAAACCTTCTGGTGAGACAAACAAAACAGTTTTGTTTTTTCATTAAACACTTCAAGTTTCAACATTTCAACTTTGAGCCGTCTGTGTTTGAATAAAAATACAATAACTCCTCAGCTCAATTCAAGTCAGTTCAGTTTATATATTTAGCACCAATTCACAATAAACGTAAACTCGGAGCCCCGCACTTAAAAGATTAATATCATAAATCCATTTCAGATCCAGATTCTACTCAAATTACAGTCAATTCATTTCCTCTTGCACTGCAACACATTTACGTACGTCCTATTATGAAATGCCAGTTAGGTGTCTAAAGAAGGCAGCCAATATCACAATTCTCCAAAAATAATGAAGCACATTGGCGACAGTGGAAAGAAACAACTCCTTTTTAACAGGAAGAAACCTCTAGCAGAACTGGGCCCGTGATGAGCGACCATCTGTCTCAACCTGCTGGAGTTTGAGGCAGGAAAGAGACTTGAAAGGACTGGTCCAGGTGTAGTTTCTAGGGGGAGGGAGGGGTGTTAAAACATGTTAATGATACAAATAATTACAAAACAAACATGGAGAATAGAGAGTAAAGACAGCAGCAGAGTGAGGAAATGTAGTCAGTTTGTCTCTAGCAGCAGCATCATAACTATGGGATAGGTCAAGAAACCCCAAATTATAAGGTTAATCAAAAAGGAAAGTTTTAAGCCTAGTCCTAAAACTAAACAGGATTTGTCAACCTGTTGGACAAAAGAAAAAAAACCAAGTTGAGGACCCTGATAATTGAAAGTGCTACTTACCATTCTTATTTTAGAAACTCTAGGAACCACAAGTAAACCTGCAGCTTGAAAAATGTATTCCCTTAGAAAAACATAGAAAAAAGTATAAGAGTCTTATGTAAGTTCTGCAAAGTTTAGCAGTGTGATAACTGGTTGTGAGTCTGTGTGAAACTTCTCATTTTTAAAAATTATTATTATTATTTTTTCTTTCCTCAGCAGAGCTCCGTTGATGGCCTGTTGCAGTGGGCTTTCCACAACGTCTCTCAGCCTCTTCCAGACTCACAGGGATGCTACCAGTAAATGAAATAACCAGACATTCAAACTTATTTAGTAACACTGCTAACATAAGGCTTAGATATTTAAAACTGCAGAACCACTTGATGTTTACAGTCACTTTCATGCTGCAGGTGAAATAAACAGGCATTGGCTGACTTCTGATTTTTACTGTAATTAATGATTATTTTTCACCATCTCTTTTCTTTGCCTTATTTATGGGCTCTAATGTTTTTTTAGTTTTAATTGTATCCAACCTAAACTGTAATTACTGTATATGCTGGAATAATACCAGAAAATGTACAAGTAAAATACATGCACATACCAGATACAGTGCTTTGCCTTTGTTTAGGGACTTTATTTTACCAATGTATCCAGTTTTTCCAGGATTCTTGTGCAGTTTCACGGAATCTGTAAACAGGACTGGTGTCAGCGCAGTCGTGGGAGAGCTGGGAGAGGGTCATTGACTTATCTGCTCAGGCATGACTGAATTTCAGAGTTACATAAACTTTTAACCTTCTTCTTGCTCAGGAAACCTTCACGTGTCTTTCTACAGCAGAGGAAATTAGAGAAGTTCCACATACATTTTACAGAAAGCTCATAAAAGATGCACTCAAATGCATATACAGTAAAGTGTGCACATGCATTAGTTAAAAAAAATAGCCATGCAAACTTCCATTTTTTTCCTGTTTGGATTCAGAGCTGTTTGCGTCCCCATGTTAGACCAGATGGTTCCAATACAGTTTGGTATGCACCCTGAGAAATGTCTCTGTTTGACATGAATTCCTTGAGAGCTAAATCACGCAGATGGGGAACTTTGTTTTTCTCATGAGTTTTAGCATGGCTGCCAAGAAGATGCTTGGCCAGGCAGCGCAAAGATTTTTCTCCTCTCAGTGTTTGGTTGCCATGACGCCCAGCTCCTTCGGGCATACAGCAGAGGATGACAAACGTGATCTTTGCGGTGTGTTTGTGCATGAGCATATTTGTTTTGTCCGTCAGCACATTTTAGGTTGTGAAACATCTTGTAAACCTGAGGCCACTGGAGGGAGAACAGCCTCAATGACACACAGCAAGAAAAGCTGATTAAAACAACCAAGGGTGTAACATTCCTTAAAAGGATGCCTGCCTACTTTTATGGCAGCGTTTTAGACGAAGAGCTTCTTATGATGAGAAGGGTCAGTGGTAGCTCTGGTTTGGTCAAACCTTGTAAAATCTCATAAGCCACGTCAGTGCTTGCCTTGAAGTAGCTACTACAGTCCCTTGATTATCACGGAGGTTACGTTCCACACACCCCTGCGATAGGTGAAAAACCGTGAAGTAGCAAGGTTATATTTATTTTAGTATTTATATGTATTTATATCTATTTTAAGGCTTTTTAAACCCCTTCTACACTCTTGCAATGTTCTAAACTCTTAAGCCTACGTAATGTCAACAACATATGCGCAGTACTGCAAAATTTTACTCACCAGCTCTGCAGACCAGCAGCTCGGTTCCAGTCCAACTTGGTTCCGGTTCAGCAGACCTACCCTGCAGTGACAAAGCCCACGGCCCCGTTGATGTGTGCATGGATAATTGAGCTTCAGGAAGCTTCAGGATTATTTGTGACTTTCCTGCCAGTTCTGTGAGCTTCATAGATAGCATAGGTTTGTGTTGCAAAACTTCCATTTGGCAGAAAGAAGCAGCTTGAAGCACTGTTGGCTTCTGGGTAGTGGTTGTCTTATGAATAGTGTTGGCTTCTGGGTAGTGTAGTTCTTTTGACTGGCGACGCAGTGTAGGATTATTGAATGGAAGCTACAAGAAAGCAGTGGCTGGAGCACTGTTGTCTTATGAGTAGTGTTGGCTTCTGGGTAGTGTAGTTCTTTTGACTGGCTTTACAGTGTAGGCTTATTGAAAGAAAACTACAAAATGGCGGGGCCTGTCCAAAATATTTTTTTCTCTGTAACTTTTTATCTCGCACCATCCCAATCACGTGAGTAATATTAAAGTTGACAATCGTTTATAAAACACAAAAGAGTGTGTCTGAGAAAGTCGAACCACAAAGTAGCAAGGGACTACTGTAATAAACGTTAGTTCAGTTTCTTTAAATTTGGGTAATTTATAGCCAATTCTGTGTTTCTTGAAGATGAATGGCTGTGGTGGCCATGTTTAATTGGGTTGACTCTAATTATAGAAGCATTTCTACTGATTACTTTCTGATAGTTTCATTAAAATATGTGTATTGGTTCATAAGATATTCTGCTAACATGATTAAATATGCACAGACTGTGCGTTGGTGTAGTAGGGTGATAATGAAAGTAAGAAATCAAACAAAATTTTGCTTAAAACTGTGTGTTCTTAGGAGTCTTTTTGTACAGATGTAATCCTAATAACCTTAAAATCACATTTGAAAGTATTTTGCATTAAAGCGCATCCTGTAGAACAGAGCTCTTTAAAGTGTTTTTTTTCCATGAACAAAACAATTATTAAAATATTAAAAACAACTTTTTTGATTGAGGGGAAAATACTGAAAGAGCTAATACTTTTGTACTGAAGGCTCTAAGTGACAGATGCAGTTTAACACTTTCTGCAGGATTTGACTGCATGCCAACACTCTTAAGCAACAAATGGAATAAAAGAGGAACAATTTTTCCAACGGTCAACATTTGTGCTGACAAGGAAGTGGGAAATACCCAGATGTCAGAAGAAAGGCAACAGCTCTGCATGCAAATATGTAAAATAAATGATAAGGGTTTTTTATGATAGCATAACAGTACTGGTGACTCTCTGGAGTTTGGTTAAAAAAAACTACTACATTTATAACAGTTTATGAAAAACGATGAGTTATTACCGATCTGCAAATGTATGATGAATCTACCAGAGTCTAAAAAGATGTAAAAATGTGTAGAACATGAATGAAAACTTGTTAAAAAGATATAATTTTATTTTAATAAAAAGGCTTTTTTCATAACTTGATGACAAAATTACAATCAAACAAGTTGAAAGAAGAACAACAAGAGCAACGAGAGGCTGTAAATATACATTTGTTTTGAAAAATAAAAGCAAAAATCAGACTGTTAATAAAAACTAAACTAACTAACAACTAATTGGTCTGAGTGTGTATTAAAAAAGTAGCAGCAAAACTAGAAAACGTTTAGAAGGGTTAACCACGCTGTAAAATACTGCATGTATCATCAGTTTAACAATAATCCTCAGTAAAGAATTATATTCATGCATGTGTATGAAGAATAGTGGTGGTGCAGAGGTTCGAAAAGGTGAGCCAGTGATCTGGAGGTCACAGGTTTGAATCCCCACACTGTTACAACAAAATTTGGGTGGGAAAGTTAAAGCTCCCACATCTGCCTCCACCATCATTTGCCTACTGTGGGCCCTTGAGCAAGGCCCTTAACCCCTCCAGCATCTCGTAACTCTGTGGTTGCTTCAGGAAAGGCATCTGGAGTAAAAAATAACTGTTTTCTCACTGTGGTGGTTCCCCTTTTCCCAAAAGTGGGACCGGAGGGTGTGTCCCAACGACTGGGGCATCACTGTCCCTAAGGCTGCACACTGGATGCCTTCTTAGCCTGCCAGGGCTGTTTTTGTCACGATTCTGTTTATAACTTTTATGAACAGAATTTCACGATGCAGCCAGAGACTGAGGGCGTCTGGCTCGGTGGCCACAGGACTCCGTCTCTGCTATTCGTAAATGATGTGGTCAAGTATCTTGGGGTTTTGTTCATGGGTGAGGGAAGAATGAAGCATGAGCTGGACAGACGGGTTAGTGCAGCTTCAGCTGTACCTGTTGTGGTGAAGAGGGAGCTGATCTGCAGCGGTGAAGCTTTCCCTTTAATGGTTCCTACCCTCACCTATGGTCATGAACTCCAATTAGTGACATAAAGAAAGAGATTGTGGATACACGTGGTGAGACTCAGAGTAGAGCCACTGCTCCTCCACATCAAGAGGAGCCAGTTGAGATGGTTCAGGCATCTGGTAAGGATGCCCCCTGAGCGCCTTCCTAAGGAACTTTTCCAGGCATGACTGACTGGGAGGAGACACTGGGGAAGACCCAGGACACACCAGAAATACTTTGCCACAGTCTCAACTCTCATCAGTTCCACACCAAACCAGTTAAGGGTCTGCCCACTGTTGGTATCCACCCCCACTCAGCCCAGTTTATGGGACCACCTTGTTGGTGGTTCCAAACGAACTGCTCCAATTTGACATACTGTAAGCAGACAGCAGTCATTGATTGGTCAGAGGACCTACATCACTGGATGACCCACCCAGCAAAACTGCAAACTACATCTGAACCTCCATTTCTTCTCTGATCGTGTTGAGTGTATGTTGTTTTTGCTGGATTCTGGTATGGAAGCTCCAAAAATAGTGCCATGGATGGACCAACGATGAGGTGCAGACCTTCCTGACTTGACTGGCTGATGTTAGGATTTAGTGTGAGCTGGACGGCGCCACAAGAAATGAGCACATTTACCAAAAGATATCGGAGATGATGGCACAGCATGGCTGCACATGGGCAGTGCCGAGATAAGCTAAATAAATTTAAGTCAGATTATAGGGCGATTAAGGATCACATCAAGTGGAATGGCTCAAACACAATGTCCTGTTACAATACTGCCCATTTTGCATTAATGATCCCACCTACAGAGCTGGGAAACAAGTCACAGCGGTAAATTACCAACACCTGAGAAGAACCGATAAGACAAGAGCTGAGTGGAGTCGCACTTATCAAAGGCAAAAATGCTTAATAAGTCTCTCAGCTGGCCTGGGGACACCTTGGAGACCTCGCAGAAGAGCTATAAGTTATTAAGTGATGGCTGGGGGAAAAGGATGTCTGGGCCTCTCTGCTCAAGCTGCTGCCCCTGCAACTCAACTCTGGGACAAGCAGAAGATAATTAACTGAGTAATCGATTACAGTTTGTATAAATTTATATCTAGTGCAGACAAGAATGTTATGTGCCAAACTCCTATACTGTCTCATAATCCAGGCTCTTGTTTATCTCTGTTGCATCATATATCTTGTCTAGACTAAAAAAAGA